CAGCCAGAGAATTCTGTAGCTCGATACACTCAAAAGGCAGAAAGAAAAAAGAGGGTCAACCTCAAAGTCTTTATATGGAAACTGTTCTTCCAAAATGAAGGAAAAATGGATATTTCCAGATAAAACCTGAAAGGTTTCATTGTGTGTAGACCTGCTCTACAAGAAATACTAAAGGGAATCCTTTAGGTTAAAAGGAAAGTACCCTGGGCCATAAATCATATCAACACAAAGAAGTAGAGCACCTGTAAGGTAACTTGAGACAAATGCTTACAGGTAACTAGAAAAGCTAAATGCAGTTTTTATTTTTAGCTCCTCTTGTTTGATTTTTAAAACTACCTCAGATAATACCTATAAATATCTGTTGATGAGTATACAACGTATAATGATGTAATTTGTATGACAATAACATTACAAAAATGCAGAGAGAACAGACCTACGTTACAGCCAAGTTTTGTACACAGCATAAATTAAGTTGGAATGACTCTGAACTGGTTTGTTACAATTGTTATAAGTTAAACTGTAAATTGTGATCTCCAGGATAATACTAAGAAAATGTCAGAAGATTATATTTACAATATTGTAAAAGAATGGCAAGGGTACCTCCATATTAGACTGGAACTATCTGTTTAACACAAAATAATGTGGCAATGGAAGAATAGAACAAGAACCACAATGAAAAGCAGAAGCCAGTAGCAAAATGGTAGACAGATCCCTATTTTATCAGTAATTACATTGTGCACCAATTCCCTGTGATGAATGTGTTTATTATGTATTGAAGGTGCTGTGAAAATGTATAAATGGATTAAATATTTTGATCAAAAAGCAGCAGAGATTAACAGTATGAATTAAAAACCAAATATGACCCAACTTTATTTTGCCTGCAGAAGACGCACTTTTTTTATTAGCACATGTGCAAAGTTCCTATGTTTACACTCCTTGTGGGGAGTGGCCCTCGTGCATAATACATCTCAACTCCCTTTCCACCCCTCCACCCGTCTCTTGGTCCCTGTCCTTTTACTTTTGCATATGTTCGCAATACGTGATGTTTACATTTTCTGTGGGAAGTTAGTGTGTGCACATCACACATCTTAATCCATTTTTCATCCCCTTTCCCTCCTGTCTCTCCTCTGTCCTCCTTGAATCTCTCGATCCCCCTCCCCTTCAAGGAAGATCTCCTACTCCGTATTATCTATCTTTCATTTTACTCTTTATTCAAAGTTGGGTTTCTCATAGAAGAGAAATCACGCAGCATTTAAGCTTGTGTACCTGATTTAGCTCACTTAACATCATGGCCTCAAGGTATATTCATTTTCTTAGAATGACTCAAGTTTATCTTTCTTTATGCCACTGTAGCACTGCACTGTGTGAAAACAACATTTTATTTATCCATTCATTGCCTGATGGACAGATAGGTCGCTTCCAAGATTTATCTTTTATGAGTTGTGCTGCTACAAATACGAGTGTGCATGGATGCGTGTGTTACGATGTCATTAACTCTTTTGGGAAGATACCTAGAAGGAAAATGTCAGGGCTAAATGGAATTTCTAATTTCAGAATTTTGAGAAATCACCACACTGATGTCCATAGTGATTGCATTAGTTTACATTCCCACCAATAGTATTAAAGTGAAACTTTTTAGCTACAGCCTGTCCAGTATTTGTTATTATTTGCTGTCTTGATAAAGATGGCCGTTCTTTCTGGGATGAGATGGAATCTCAGCATTGCTTTAATTTGTGTTTCTTTAGTGGCCGGCAGTACTGAGCATTTCTTCACGGATTTTTTGGCCATTTGTAATTCTCCTGTGAAGTGTTTATTCATTTTCCTTGCCCATTTTTCAGTTAGGGCTTTTATTTGTGTGGGTTAATTTTTTGAATTGTTTCTATGTTCAAAATGTAAATCCCATGTCTAGGAACGGCTGGCAAGTTGTTCACACTCTGTAGTTGTCGTTTCACTCTCTTGGTGGCTTCTTTGCCATGCAGAAGCTTTTTAATTTGATACGATCCCATTTGTTGAGTCTCTGAATTATTTCCCGGACAATCACTGTTCTGTTCAAAAAGTCCTTGCCTACACCTACGTCTTCAAGAGGTTTGCCTATTTTGTCTTCCAGCAGGTTTAGCGTTCCTGTTTTAACATTTAGTTCTCTGACCCATTTTGATTTCAGCTTAGTGCATGGTGAGACACATTTCGCTTGCCCGTTTCTTGAGTGAGCTTTTTAGTTTAGATGGTCTGTTTGTTTGAGTTCTTTATATACTCTCAGTATTGGCCTTCTGTCTGAGGTACAGCTGGCAAATCCCTTTTCCTGTTCTGCAGGTTGTCTCTTCACTCTACCAGTTGATTCCTTTCTGTGCAGAAGGCTTTCCATTTGATATAATCCCATTTGCTGATTCTTCTTATTATTTCTTTGCAATTGGAGTTCTGTTTAAAAGATAATTTCCTACACCTTTGACTTCAAGTGTTTTACCTATTTTGTGTTCTAGTGGGTTCAGTTTTTCTGTTTTAATGTTTAGCTCTTTGATCCATTGTGATTTTTGTGTCGTAGATGGGGAGAGATACGGGCCGAGCTTCAGTTTTCTGTGAACAGATCTCCAGTTTTCCCAGCACCATTTGCTGACTAAGCTATTTTACTCTACTGCACACTTTGCCCCCTCGGTCAAAGGTCTCATAGCTGAATGTGTTCGGGATGTTTCTCTATCTTCTGTTTAGTTCCATTGGTCCACATGTCTGCTTTTGTGCACTGAATGCATGGGTCTAATAGAAATGCATTTTTCCTTTCTTGTACTTGTTGAACTAGAATGAAAAAATGCTAAGTGGGGACCTAGGTCTTCTTCCCTTGCCTGCCAGGCTAGTATCCTGACCTGGAAGTCCTTGGTGTTCTCCTAAACCAGCATGTTATACCTATAAAGGATGAGTTAAACACTGGCGTCTATCCTTCCAAATAGTCAGGATCTTTCATAGTTCAGAATGGAGTCACTGAAATACAATTTTCAAATCACTTTGCTTTATGATAAATGGTAGCCTAGAAGAATGAGACTTCTCAGCTGGTTATCAACTCTTTAGGTCTTGAGCTCCTCATCGTTGGGTTCTAGGAAGGTATCAGCACCGTGAGTACTCGGGTCAGAGTCGAAAGTGCTCAGTGCTGTGGCGGCTCTGATCGTGGCCACGGTGTGGGTTGGGGACTAGGAAGGGCTCTTCTGCTTCTCCTTGGGCTGGTCTTGGGGCCCCCTAGGAGGTTTCTCAGCACAGGGCCGTGTACATGAGGATATTTCTTCTTGGAACCCTCCCCCAGCTCCTGTGAACACTTCAGCAGGTAGGAAGAAAGAGTGACGGCCCCTGGAGCCTGGCTTTTCTGCCTATGGTGTGGCCACAACTTTCAGTGAGAGGAAAGACAGAAAGAGGAGGAGATAAGGCAGGAAATGGGTCAAGGCAGAATATATGATTCTTCTAGGCACATGTGACTTGTCAATAATCATTTTTCTGTTCGCTTCTTGAAAATGTAAGGGATTATGAGAAATAAAAAATTTTATGGTGTGACATGCTGGTATGTACATTAGAATTGTTCCTTTATCCCCTGATAATTTTCATGCATAGTATTTATCATTTGTAGCAAAACAGTTGAGAGGACTTTACTTGTGGTCTTCTTAGAGAAAAATAACAAAGAGAAAAACCAAAAGGATGAAATGAAGACAATGGCAGAAATTGTACGAATCAAATTGTAAGCCCTAGAGAGGAGACATTACTGAGTTCTTCCGGTGGCCACGACGGGCCCTTAAATTGCTGCCTGATGTCTGTTCTGAGCGGAATGTCTTTTATCGTGATGTGAATGTTTGCAAACCGGAGGGCAGATTATGGCAGGCTGAATAAATTTGCCTTCAAAAATATCTGTGTCCATCCAAAGTCCCAGAACCTGTGCATGTTGCCTTACGCAGCAAAATGGGGTGTGAAGGTGTGATTCATTCAGGAATCTTGAGGTGGAGCGATTACCTGGAGTTCCCCGGGAGGACTCTAAATGTAATCACAGAAATCCTGACAGGAGAGAGGAAGAAGGCCTTGTGATGACAGTGGCCGTGCAACACTGGCGGCCTCCAGAAGTGGGAGCAGTGGGGGCTGATTCTCCTTTGGAGCCCCCAGAGCGAATGGCTTTGCCACCATCTTGATTTTATTCCCTTTGGACACATTTCGGACTTCCGACTTCTAGGGTTGTAAGAGAATAAATTTGTGTTGTCTCACCCTCTACTTTTTTGGTAACTTGTTATAGCAAGCAACAGGAACCAGACAGATTAAGTCCATTTGTGTAAGAGCCAGGACAGTGTGAGGAAATATTCTTTTCACTTCTTCTATTATTTCTGCGATGTCTTAGTAAGTCAAACTCTACATTTGCCTTGCATCCAGCCCCAGAGATAGCTCTGAGCTTCTGGGTGCCTCTTTGCTGGGGTAGCTGTGCATATTTTCAAACTGGGAGGAACAATGTGGAGACAACAGAGAAGCTGGGCGGTGAGCAGAATTCTCACTTTTCTTTTGATCCATTCTTTGTTTGTTTGTTTGTTTTTCTCTGGTACCGGGAACCGAACTCACGACCTTGCGCTTGCCAGGCAGGTGCTTTGCTGCTGAGCTAAATCCCCAGCCCTCTTTTGTTCCATTCTTGTTACCCAAAGTTTTAGTCCCTTTTGGCCTAGAGCTTCAGTGCTATTAATTTCTGAGTGAGTAACTCAAGACCTTCCTGGAAGACTAATGGAAAATTCCTGTTGTACAGTCACCAAGGAGCCCCACAGGCTCGATAGCTGGAAATATCAAGGGAAAGACCTGTTTTTCTTTGATTCCAAGTTACCCACAGGCTCCCAGTCTGCTTGGGTCATTTTAAAAGGCTTTCAGAAATCCAGCCTTGTACCCCGCCTCCCCCCACCCCACCAGACAAAATACAGCTTTGAATGATTTAGTGTTACAGCAGTCACATAAACAAAAAATTTTAACTTGGCAAAGCTGAAGCACTCTCTAACCTGTAGAGCAGTATTTTAGTTTCTTAAGAGACAATTTCTTGGCTGACTCCACCCAGTAGGGCTTCCTGACTGGGGTTTTCAGAGGTGCAAACACTTTGCTCTCACAGTTAAAGCAGAGGCACCAGCTGAAACAGCCTCCTTGGAGAAATCCTGAGAACACATCAGCTCCTTCCAAAGAAGGTGAGCTTTGCTGGGAAGAGGATCTCAAGCCAAGGAACTGCAAGAGGCAGAGTGTCACAGGGCATTTCTGTGGGGGGTGGATTCTAGTCTGCAGGGGCTGAGGTGCTGTGCCAGCAGCACATGTGCAGGGCGCAGCAGGGTGATAGTGGTGGGGTTGGGGGTTGAAGGAGATTTCTTAGCATGGTGTCCATGCAGCACATATTAATAGGAGGAAGTTTAAGCAAATGACCTTCCATCAGTGAACGTTGTGGGAGATGCAGCGCATTGCCTGGTAACTTTAATAAGCAATTGGTGCCTTCCAGGCAGGTTCCTCACTCTCCCTCCCTGGGGATGGCACCTAGGCCTGGAGCATGCTGTGAGTGCTCTCTCTCGCTCCCGTTCCCAGCCCTCAGGGCAGACTTTGTTTAGAGCTGGAAGGCAATGCTAAATATAATATATATATTATATTTTATATTGAATATAAATGTAATGTAAGGTTATTAAATTCCTTATAAATGCATATTCAATGAGCATGAGGGTCTATACCTGAATCTTCTGTTTTTGTTACATGGTTCTATGTTTCTAGTCATTCATCAACATCTGATTCCTTTTAATTATGGAGACTGTAATGATTAACTGAAATGATTAACTATGACTACCTTTCTCTCTTTGGTTTTTTTTTGGTGTCCAGGATAATTGTCACTTTTTTTTCATCCAAATAAATGCTGTGATCAATTTCTTACTTCTAGAGAAAAAAGATGAAGACAAAATGAAATTTGCATTTATTTGAAATCCTGTTAAATCAGTCTCTACTTGTTCTTATTTTATAAAATGTTTCAAAGAAGAATTATTGAGAAATTTGTTTTTGTTTTTGTTTTTTTTTTTTTTGTTTGTTTTTCTCCGGTACCAGGGACTGAACTCACGACCTTGCGCTTGCCAGACAGGCGCTTTGCCACTGAGCTAAATCCCCAGCCCCTGAAATTTGTTTTAATATCTTTTCTGCGTCTAGTAATTTTCATCTGAATCTATTAGCGGGATATATTCTAGCAATGAATATTCTCTTATGTGACCGTGCTAGTAGTTTTGCAATAAATCGCTAACACAGTGTGTTATTTGTGAGCATTTAACCATTCACTTAGGATTTTTGTATCAATATTCACAAAGGAGAAACATCTGTGGTTTTCTTCTTGGTATTATATTTGTTTCATAAAAATAGTGCTGGAATTTCTATCTTTTTTCTGTTTAACATGTAATAATTGTATGTATTCATGGGGCTCAGGACGATGCTTCAATATGTGTAAACAATGTTTACTGATGAAATCGGGGTAATTAGCATGTCCATCTCCTTATCATTTCCTCTTAAAATTACCTTCTTTTTTGTTGTTGGTGGGTTTTTTTTTTTTTTTTCTGGTACCGGGAGTCGAACTCATGACGTCGCACTTGCCAGGCAGGTGCTGTGCCGCTGAGCTAAATCCCCAACCTAATTACCTTCTTTTTTGGTACTGAGGGCTGAATGCAAGTCTTTGCACTTGCGAAGCAAGCGAGCACTCCACTAGTGAGCTAAATTCCTAATCCCTCCCTATCGTTTCTTTATATTTAAAGCCTTAAGCTCCTCTTTTATAGTTTTTCATAACACATATGTTAGGTTGCTGTGAACTAGAATCACCCTACTGTGCTGCAGATCGTGGGAACTTTTTCCTTCTATCTGACTTTGTTTTGGGACCCATTCTTCAACTTCTCTTTGTCCTCTGTGCACCCTACCCGATAGCCACTAGTTTCCCTTCAAATTGGCTTTAAAAAACACCTCCACATCTGAGAAATAACATGCAATATTAGTTTTTCTGGATCTGGCATTTCAGCTAAGAAAAAGTCCTCCAATTCCATCTACTGCTCTGAAAACAACAGGATTTCATGTTATGACTTCTTATCATCTCATTGTATGTATACCCCACTCTTCATTATGAATTCACCCACTCATGGGGACCAGGTTGATTTCCGGCTATTGTGAACAGGGCTGCAATATAAGTGAGAGTGAAATATCTCTTTGGAATAGTGGCTTCATTTCATTGAGATAGACCCCAAATGGGATAGCTGGAGCATAAGCAGGCCTGTGTTCAGTTTTCTGGGGAACTTCCATTCTGCCCTCCATAGCGGCTGTACTAATCTGAGAGTTCTTATGTGTTCACATCCCCACCAGTATTTGTTCCTTTTGTCTCACTGATGATAGCTGTTCGAAGTGAAGTGAGATGAGGTTTCACTCTGGTCTTGATTTACATTTATCTCGTGACTACTGATGTTGAACAATTTTTCATGTACTTGTTGGCCATTTATATTTCTTCCTTTGAGAATATCTATTTAGATCATTTGCCCATTGTTAAGTTGGATTATTTAACAGGTTTTTTCTTTTGCAAAGATTTTGAGTTCCCCATATGCTCTGGATATTAATCACTTGCGATAGGAGCAGCTTGCAAATTTGCTCCAAGTCTGCAGGTCGTCTCTGTGCTCTGTTGATCGTTCCCTTTGTCATGCTGGTGCTTCTCAGTGTGACACAAACCCATGTGTCCATTTTTGCTTTCCTTACGTGTGCATGTGGGGTCTTAGCCACAAAATGGCTGCCAATACCAAAGTGTTGAAGTGCTTTCCCTATGTTTTCTTCCAGTTATTTTAGGGTTGTAGGACTCAAAATGGACTTTGGTCCATTTTAAGTTGATTTTTGCTTAAGAAGTAGGGATCAGGTTTCATTCTTCCACGTGTGAACATTCAGTTTCCCAACACCATTTGCTTGAAGAGAGCATCTTTTCTTCAATGTATGTTTTGGCCATCTTCGTTGAAAAGAAGTCAGACTGTAGCTGTGTGGGTTTATTCCTGGGTCTCTGTTCGGTTCCATGGGTCTGTGTGTCTGTTTTTATGCCAGGACCATGCTGCTTTTGTTGCTGTGGCTCTGTAGTGTATCTTGCAATCATATGTTGCAATGCCTCCAGCTTTGTGGGTTTTTGTTTTCTTTTGCATTTTTGTTCAGGATGGCTTTGGCTACCTGAGGTCTTTTGTGCTTCCATATAAATTTAGGATTAGTTTTCCAGTTCTGTGAAGAGTGTCATTGGTATTTCAATGGGGATTAGGTTGAACTCATTGTGTAGCCGAGGCTGGCTTTGAACTCACAATCCTCCTGCCTCCTCCTCCAGAGTGCTAAGATTATGGGTGTGTGTCACTACACTAGGCTTTCTTTCCTTTTTCATGCTTGTTATGCCTCTATGATTATACTTCCAGATCTAGCATATCAGTGACCTCTATTGTTTTTAAGAGAAGACTTTCACAGTCAAAGGCTTGTCCCTGAAGACTGCTCTGCTTTTGTTCTAACTGGATGCTGGGCATAGTTTCCCTAGAGCTTCTCTGGCTATAATTGGTGGTAATGGCAGTGGCAGTGGGCACAGGGGCATGGCAGTGCTTCTCCTCAGTCCTGGCTTGAGCACTGGTGCAGGTGGCTGGGGCAGGATGTGCATGCATTCACCCTTGGTTCTGGCTCTGGATATGGGCTGGCATATTGGCATGTGGGCTGGTGGTGGGAGTGGGGACATTCTTGTATGATCATGAAGAGTTTAGCATTGAGATGATCAGATTTTTAAAAGTTTATTAGTGGTTGCCTTGAAAGCATCTAGTCCAGGTGCTCCAAGGTGCAGAAACTCTTTAATTTCTCCATTATCTCTTCCCTAGTAATTAGATCAGTTTTCTTTGTCTCTGTACTGAAATATACATGGAAAATATAAAAATATGAATTTTAAGTGGGAGAAGGAAAAGAAGAAAAGAGAATGGGTACAGTCCCCATTCCCTGAGTCAGCATTTTTCTCCTTCTTTCCTTCAGGTCTGCTTGCAGGCACGTGCCAAAGTGTCCTTCCATGAACATGGCTGAGCCTCAGGACAACGAGCTGAGGATAGTTCTGGTTGGGAAAACTGGAAGCGGGAAGAGTGCTACAGGAAACACGATCCTTGGGAGACCAGTGTTTTGTTCTCAAATTTCTGCCCACGCTGTCACCAAGATCTGTGAAAAACAAACCCGAAAATGGAATGGGAAAGACCTTGTTGTTGTTGACACCCCAGGACTCTTTGACACCAAGGAGAAGCTGGAAAGCACGTGTAGAGAAATCAGCCGCTGTGTCATCGCCTCCTGCCCAGGACCACATGCCATCCTCATGGTTATACAGCTGGGCCGCTTCACGGAGGAAGAGCAGAAAACCGTGGCTTTGATCAAGGCTGTCTTTGGGACGGCAGCCATGCAGCACATGATAGTCTTGTTCACTCGCAAAGATGAGCTGGATGGCAGCAGCCTGAGTGAGTTCCTGGGAGATGCACATGCAAAGCTAAAAAGCATCATCAAGGAGTGCGGGGACCGCTGCTTCGCCATTAACAACAAGGCAGACCCGGCTGAGAAGGAAGTTCAAGTGCAGGCGCTGATGGAGCTGGTAGAGCGAATGGTGCAGAAGAACAGAGGGGCTTACTTTTCTCACACCATCTACAAGGACATAGACGAGAGGCTGAAGTATCAGGCAAAAGTTTTGGTGGAATTTCACACTGAACAATTAAATAACAACATCAAAATAATACAAGAGAGCAATAAATCAGAGCAAGAAAAGCTGAGAGATATAAAAGACAGGCATATGAAACATGAGGAAAGAATAAAAAATGTAAGGGAAGAAGCTGAGGGTTCTGTGTTGGAATACGGCTTAAGGAAGATTTTGAAAATTCTTTCAAACATATGGCAGATGTTTTGGAAGAAGTAATATACATGACATTCTTTTTCATTTACTCTGCTTTGTTAATTCATTGTATTCTATTTTCCAAGCAGAGCCACAGCAACATCTTCCCTCCTCCTCTTACATTAAGGTCTAGCTGTCAAATGCAGATTGTGCAGTTTCAATGTGCATTTTTAATGAGCATTTGTAATGAAATGATTAAATAAATGTAATTAATACATTCATAGTCTCACATAGATTTTTTTCTTTTGGTGCAGTGAGAGTAATTTAAAGTTTACTTTTTCAGCAAATTCCAAAAATACAGTACAATATTTTTGTATTTGAAATAGAATAAAACACCAAAATAACAACAATAAAGACAAAAACAAAACAACACAAAAACAGTACAGCTTTTCAAAACCAAATGATAGGAATTAATAACATTTTTTTATATTACATATTGTTATTTTCAACAAAGCTGCTCAGATTATCAGATGGAAGAATGCATGATTGATCAGACAATTAAAGAGAATAAAAAGTAATAAAAAAATTAGAAATGACAGAGCTTTGTGAAACAGATGGCAGGAATTCAACAACGGTTGTTATATTGCCTATGGTTGTCTTCAAATTAGTTATTCAGATTACCTGATATAAGCATGTAAATTGCTCAAGAAAAAAATTTAAACATTAATTGTTCTTTTCAATAAACCATTAGATATCAGCAGTACAATTATCCGTGCTATCCTTGTACACACACATACACACACACACATTTTTTCCTTCCTTCGTTCTTTCTTTTCTTCTTTCCCTCATCTCAGTTGTTCCTTCCCTTTGAGCAATTTCTTTCCCTTTCACAATATCTATTATACCTTTTGGGTTTTATTTACTCTTGCAGATCCTTAACTAGGAAGACAATATGATGTTTACACATGTGAGTCTGATTTATTTCACTTATGAGTATGGTCTCTAGTTTACTAACTATTTACCTGTATTGTTTGTTTGTTTTTACCTATATTGTTTGTTTGTTTGGTTTTTGGTTTTTCTCCTGTACTGGGAATCGAACTCATGACCTTGAGCTTGCCAGGCAGGCGCTGTGCCACTGAGCCTAATCCCCAGCCCTATTTACCTATGAAAACCTCGAGTTTATCTTTTTTATAGCTGAGTAATACTCCATTGTATAAAAATACCACATCCTTTTTATCCATTCCTCAGTTGATGGGCGTTTGGGTTGTTTCCAAGATTTAGCTATGACAAATTGTGCTGCTATAAACATGGGTGCATATATATCACTGTGGTATGATGTTTTTACTTCTTCTGGGAAAATATCCAGAAGGGGAATAGCTGGGTTAAGTGAGACTTCTAAGCCTAGTTTTGTGAGGAGTTTCCACACTGATTTCCACAGTCTACACTCCCTCCAGCAGTGGAGAAGGGTTCCTTTTTTCCCACAGCTCCTCCAGCATTTGTTATTGGTTGATTTCTTGATGATAGCCATTCTTTCTGGGATGAGGTGGAATCTCAGTATTATTTTAATTTTCATTTCTCAAATGATCAATGATGTTGAACATTTTTTCTTATATATATTTGCCATTTGTATTTCTTCATCTGAGAAGTGTGCATTCATCTCAGATGCCCATTTTTAGATTTGGTCTTTGATATTTGGGGGCCTGATTTTATTTACTTCTTTATATGTTCTAGAGGGATAGTCAGCTAAATTTTTTTCCCAATTTTTGGTTTTTATTTTTAGTCTGTTGGTGATTTCTTTTGATGTACAAAAACTATTCAATAAGATGAGATCCCAGTTGCTGGTTCTTTGAAGTATTTCTCATGCAGTTTATTTTTTGTTCATGGACTCTCTGCCTAGCCCTATGTCCTCAAGATTTTGACCTACTTTCTCTCCCAGTAGATTTAGTGTTTCTGTTTTAATATTTAGATCTCTGATCCATTTTGACTTTCATTTAGTGCATGGTGATAGACATGGGTCTAGTTTTAGTCTTCAGCATGTGAAAAGCCAGTTTTTCCAGCGCGATTTATGAAAGAGGCTCTCTTTCTCCCAGTAAACATGTTTGGCCACTTTGTCAGAGATAAAGTGACTGAGTGTGTTTGTAGTTGTGTCTGCATCTTCTAATCTGTTCCATTGATACTCAGGTCTATTATTTTTTGCCAGTATCATGCTGATTTTATCACAGTAGTTTTTTAGTGTAATTTCAAGTAAGGGATTGTGATGCTTTCTATCTTCCTTTGCTGCTCAGGATTGCTTTTGTTATTCTAGACTTCTTCTGGTTCCAGATGAATTCTAGGAATGTTTTCTCTAGATCTGTGAGATATCCTAATGGTATTTTCATTGGGATTGTATTCAATCTGTACAACAATTTTGGGAGTATGGCCATTTTCAGAATGTTGGTTTTTCCTGTCCATGAGCAAGGAATATCTTTCCATTGTCTGAAATCTTCAATCTCTTTCTTCAGAGTACTGTAATTTTCACTGTATTGATCTTTTTCTTCCTTTGTTAGATTAATTCTAAGTATTTCATTTTTTATATGCTATTGTGAAAGTTGTGGTTTCCCTAATTTCTCTCTGAGTGTGTTTGTTGTTTGTGTACAGGAATTGTATTTATTTTTCTGAGTGTTGACTTTGTATCCAGTTATGCTACTGAATTTGGAGAGTAAATCTACAAGCCTTCTATGTAGAATATCACGTCATCTGCAAATAATGATACTTTTACTTCTTCCTTTCCTATCTTTATTCCTTTCATTTCTCTGTCTTTTGTCTAATTGCTTTGGCTAATATTTCCAGAACTATATTGAATAAGAGTGGTGACAGCAGACATCCTTGTCTTGTTCCTGATTTTAAAGTGAAAGCTTTCAGCTTTTGTCCATTTAGTATGATGTTGGCCATTGGTTTGGCATAGATGTTTCTTATCAGAGTGAGGTAAAGATCATCTATTCCTATTCTCTGTAGGGTTTTATCTTGAATCAGTGTTGGAATTTATCAAAAGCTTTTCTGCATCTATTGAGATGATCATATGTTTTTTGTCTTTCTCTGTATTGATATGGTGTATTACATTAATTAGTTTGCATATATTGAGCCATCCTTGCATTCCTGGAGTGAATTCTACTTGGTCATGGTCTATAATCTTCTTAATGATTTGCTGCATTCTGTTTGCCAGTATTTTTTTGAGAATATTTGCATCTATATTTATTAGGGAGGTTTGCCTGTAGTTCTCCTTTTTGGTTGGGTCTTTCTCTGGTTTTGTTATCAGGGTAATTCTTGCCTCCAAGAATGAATCAGGGAGAATTCCTTCCTTTTCAATTTAATTGAAGAGTTTGAAAAGATTTGCAATTAAATCTTCACTAAATTTCTTGTAGAATTCAGCTGTGAATCCATCAGGACCTGGGCTTTTCTTTGTTAGTAAGTTTTTTTTTTTTATTACATTTTCAATTTTGTTGGCTGATATTGAGTTAATCAGAATTTTTATATGTTCTTGATTCAGCTTTGGTAATTCATATGTATCTAGAAATCTGTCCATTCCTCTGCATTTTCCATCCTATGAGAGTAAAGATTTTTAAAGTGGGTATTGATGATCTTCTGAATTTCTATGGGATCTGTACTTATTTCATTTTTTTCATTCCTTTTTGCATGAATTTTCATTTTTCCTATCCTTTTTTTTTTTGTAAGGTTGGCCAGGGGTTTATTATTCTTTTAATGAACCAACTCTTTGATTCATTAGTTCTTTGTATTGTTTTCTTAGTCTCCATTGCATTAATTTCTGCTCTGAGCTTTATAATTTCCTGCCTTCTTTGAGCTTTAGGCTTGACATACTCTTCTTTTTCTAGATGCTTGAGGTGCATAAGGTTGTTTATTTATGCTCATTCTGTTTTCCTGATGTGGGAATTCACCACTATAAATTTTCCTCTGAGGATTGCTTTCATTGCATCCCACAGAATCTGCTAAATTGTATGTGCATTTTTATTTGATTGTAAATATTGGAGATATTGTAAATATTGTAAATATTGTAAAAGGGAGACAGGATCTCCCTTTGCAGTTTAGGCTGTCCTGAGCTCACTTCAGAGCTCAATATTAATTTCATCTTTAATTTCATCAGTGACCCATTTGTTGTTCAGGAAGATGTTATTTAATTTTCATTTGTTTATGGGGATTTTGCAATTTCTATCGTCAATAATTTCCAATTTCATCACACTCTGGTCCAATAATATGCATGGGGTAATTTCCATCCCTTTCCATTTACTTAAGCATGTTCTATGGGCTAGTATATGGTCTGTTTTGAGAACATGCTATGTGAAGCTGAGAAGAATTTGTATTCTGATGTTGTTCTGTGGAACACTCTATAAAGATCTACTAAGACCATTTGTTCAAAAGTTTGGTTTAGTTCTGTTGTTTCTTTGCTGATTTTTTGTCTAGTTGACCTATCTCTTTGTGACAATGTGGTGTTAAGCCTGTGTTACTGCCTATTTGATTTTTCACATCTGTTAACACTTATCTTATATAGTTGGGTGCTCCTGTATTTGGTGCATCAATATTTATGATTGTTATCTCTTCCTCTTGCAGTTTTCTCCTAAGTATGTAGTGACCTTCTTTATCTCTTTTGATCAGTTTTTGTTTGAAGTTGACATTGTCTGTGAACAGAATAGCTGCCCCTGCTTTTTTCTGGGTTCCTGTTGCATGGAGTATTGTTTCCCATCCTTTGACTTTCTGTCTATGAATTTCCTATTGAGTTAAATGTATTTCTTGTATACAACATATTGTTGCATTTTGTTTCTTCTCCTTCTTCTTCTTCTCCTTCTTCTTCTCCTTCTCCTTCTCCTTCTCCTTCTCCTTCTCCTTCTCCTTCTCCTTCTCCTTCTCCTTCTCCTTCTCCTTCTCCTTCTCCTTCTCCTTCTCCTTC